ATATAAATACAAATACAAGTGAGTTTAGCAATCTTTCACAACAAGTGCATAATGAAAATCGTACAGACGAACCAACCATCCAAAAAAAAAAAACCAAATCAGTTATTTTCTTCGATATTTTAATTTTTTTCGCGGTTCAAGTCCAACAAAAAATTACCGCCAAACTCGCAAATGACGTTTCCACTTGGAAGGAAGTTTGATCATCATTCTTCATCATGAGGCGAATAGGAAGGAAATTTTATCATGGTGGAAACACTGCACAAACATGGCGTCGCGTTTAAAGCTACGGATACACGGGCAATACTTTTCTGGCGATGGCAATGCAATGGTGGTAAAATCGTCGCATTGCCGTAGCGAGAAAGAAATTGCTTGTGTATCATGCTCTGCGACGGCAACGCAAAGCTGCGCGCAATCGTTGCCGAAATTTCAAATCATTTGATTTTCGGCAATGATTGCCGAAAATTGGGAGGTGTGGTCAAGGAAGGTCAAGGTTGATGAATGACACGTTTCTTGACCAGCCAATGAAAAGCGTTATGAAGACATATATTGCAGGCGAAATATTGCAGGTGTAGCCACCTTGTGCGACGGCAACGCAATGCTGTTATCACCCATTGCGTAACCATCGCAGCAAAAATATTGCTCGTGTATCCGAAGCTTAAAGCATCGTGTAAACCGAATAATTTTAAACTTTATAGCACAAATAATAGAAAATTTGTCGACAGGAAGGTTATTTTAGTTTAGTTTAACCACTGAAATGAGCGCCGGACAAAGTGACAGACACAATCGAATTTGTGCCTGTCAAAACACTGCAAATCGCGTATATGTGCCGGTCAATGACCGTGACCGGACGCTTATTTCCAGGCTTGAAAGGAGGAAGCATTTATAATGCAGGTACATTATTTGATAATTCTGAAGACCATCCAGAGTCAACAGGTGTATATAGAAACAAGTAAATAGAGACTCATATTTTGACTGGAAATAAGAACCATTTAAATTCAACTCAGCCCGATTTTCACAGAACCAACTTTAATACGAACTGCAGTCGAACTTTACAACATACATTCCGAACTTACAAATGAACATTGGTGGTCAGATTTCAAAGACAAATTGACAGTAAGATGTAATTTTATTGTTGGGGATGGGTTGGTGCTTTAGGGTTTAGGCTCAATTCCTGCAGAAGGGTTACATAAAGTCACAGCAATTTCAAAATTAATTACATGGCTTGACAAAATAAATTCTGTTCAGTCACGAAATAGGTAGATGCATTTATGTATAGCACATGTTTTTTTAAGTTTAGATATAGGTAATGAGAACCATATTGGTGTCCTAGTCACAATAAAAAAGCAATATTGCTATTTTGAGGGAGTTGCACAAGTGCACATGATAGATATTGTTTTCTTATAGATACACACCTACTTAAATTAAATGATTTTTCATTTTTGTTTGGCAATAAAGTGAAAGGTAAAAATGCTGAAAAAATCTAAAAAGTTAGCCAATTTAAATAACATCATTTCTATAACTTGCTAAACCTAGTCAGTTACTAATATATCACAAACATCTGTCGACATACACTCATGCCCCTCCTTACCACTTGAGTCTCCCACTCACCACATCCCTTTATGAAAAATTTTGGATAAAATCCTATTTTAAAAAAGTCAACCCTATACTTTATATGCTGAACATAGACCTCTAAGATATCTCATGCAGCAATTAGTGGGTGCAAATAATATAGCCAACATCACATGTGTCGATCCAGTTCCATAGTCTACATCAATTGCTATTGCACTTGGGTCCATTGGATTCAATGGCTTTGGACGTATTCTTACATTCACTGGTTTATCTTGTCCATGAATTGCAAGGCATGCCTGTTACAAATGATCTTGGTAATGTTTCTCATGAACAGCACCAATGCACTTGAATGGCACAGCATGGGTGATTTCGTCCTCGTCACTTTCATCCTAATCATTTAACTGGTCACCACTTTCTGCCCTATCACCTTCATTACCATATCCATGCTGACCAGGTTCAAGACCAGCCAACCACTGAACCACTCAAGTAGATCTCTTTCTACAAAATCATAACAAGAAAATTTTTATTTTATTATTTTATACATACACTGTAATCTCTAAAATTAGCAATCTAATGCAAAAGTGTGTCACTATTTACAGTAATATTAGAACACACAAATATTATTTTACAGATGAAAATTGAAAAATATACTATACTGTATGCACATATATGTAAAAATCTATCCATACAAACAGGCATCATACTTCAGCAAAAATGTATTAAACAATTCGTTTAACTCAAAACATGTACATATGTATCACAGTGACACAGTACATATACACACACTATAGGGTCAAACTAGAGGCATTGTAAACACAAGTATGACGCCATAATTTTGTACAGTGTATTTAAATTAAAAGTACAAGAATAAAAACAACAAAGCGGAAATTTGACTATAAAATAACACGATAACTGTAATGCATTGTAGTATACCAACCTTAAATACTGCGCTTGTTTTCACGTTGATGATACACAGAGATTTAACGCCATCCAACTTAGAAAGAAGAGCCTCGCTATTGGGAATATAAATTAAACACAATTCCTTTTCTCAGACGGATTATTTGTAAAGCTAAAATGACAACACGTCCCATGCAATTAAAAAAAAGGTAAACTTGATATAGTAAAACACAAGTCATAATGATGATCGCAACAATACAGCAATAACATGCTGTTTTCACAAAATATCGCAGCCTGACATTCTTGTCGTTCGAAAACTTCCATATTGGTTTTGTAGTCAGAGAGATGTTCAATTCTTTCACGACATTTGATGGCTCTTATAAGAGCCGTTTTTGTTATGGTCTTGAGATACGGAGAATTTACGCTTTCTTCTCGGTCTTCTTGGGCAAGAGGACAGCTTGGATGTTTGGCAAGACACCACCTTGAGCGATGGTCACACCAGACAGAAGTTTGTTCAATTCCTCGTCATTTCGTACGGCCAATTGAAGATGTCTTGGGATAATTCTGCTTTTCTTGTTGTCTCTGGCAGCGTTACCGGCCAACTCGAGGATTTCAGCAGACAGATACTCGAGAACTGCTGCCAAGTAGACTGGGGCACCAGCACCAACTCGCTCAGCGTAGTTGCCTTTCCTCAACAAACGGTGAATACGACCGACTGGGAATTGAAGTCCTGCTCTTGATGAACGAGTCTTTGATTTGGTTCCCTTAGCCTTGCCTTTGCCACGTCCAGACATCTTTCAGTAGTTTTGCCTTTTCTTCGTAGTTTGTTGAGAAAGTAGAGTTTGCGAATGAAGCAAGTACGCTCTCTAACGGCGTGCTTTTATAGTCAAGATTTACTCAAGAAAGGATCATTTTATGCATATGTAATACGAGATTATCATTTTACGATGTCTTCTCAGACGTCCGCATTATAGTTGACCAATCGTTAGATCTTATGTGTTATCCCTCATTACCATTTAATTTATAATGAGACAGGATATTTTACCGCACGCTGTTCTCATAATACACCAAAATTACCATATGTATAGGATAAAGCTCGAGGTATCATTTTAGGATGTATAGGATAAAGCTCGAGGTACCATAGACAATCCAGAAGAACATGATCAGATGCATAATAAAAAAGTGTTTGTGCCCAATTGTTGTTATATTTGGGGCGCTGGCCCGCACTTTTGTTATTGGGCCAGGCTCCCACTTCTTACGTCACTGTAGGGCAAGAATTCTTCTTCACATGGAGAGAACTAACAGTCGGTCATTGAACTTGAGTTTTCCTATTTCAAATTTTTTCACAAATATTCTTACCGAGTCACCGGCTCGATTGACTCATACCTATAGTTACGGGCCTGACTGTGAGCAACCATTGGAAATATCGCCTTGTCAGTGGCATGGAAACAATGTTTCGCTCCGTGTTTTCAGATCAACCAGGGCGTCATTCACTGATCGAATTTCTTGATTGCAGTAGGCATATAAAGCTCTTTGGTCGGCAAAAGGCATATGTATATCGTGCTATATGTGAACATTTGTGAACATAGTATATCAAAAATTGCTTTTGCACTTTGCATGTTAGGCCACATAAAATAAATTCCTTGATTCTCATCACTAGACTTTGAAAATGTAGAAGAGCCGGGAGGTTTATATTTTATATTTATATAATTTATCATCAATAAATAAAAAACTGATAATTCCTAACATTTAATATTTCTGTGATTTCCAAAGTGAAGTGTCACAAACCAAAATGAACATATTTCTCCACGAACAATGACTGAACCTTTCAACTGAATGCGAAGTTCCTTTAAAATGCAATGAAATTTCTTTCAAGGTTCTATTTGTTTGAAATTGGCAGTTTAAAATGGCACTAAAACCCAATTTTCAATATAAAAAACTTAACTGTCTTGAAATATTTTGTCGGGCGGTTCATTTATATTGTATAACAAAATATAAAAAAATATCACGCGTCTCTTAAAATACAGTCGGGCGGTGATGAGAATCAAGGAATTTATTTTATGTGGCCTTACTGATATAGTTTAGGGACCGGAGAACTATTATCACCCGTGAATGATCATGCGGAACCTATAAATTCCAAATAAAAGTACAAATCGTGACATATATTAAGTAAATGGAAACTTCATCCCTTGGCGCGGGTTTTGACTGATAATATTTCATCATATGATTTCTGAGCCGCTTGATTCCGTTTGAGCAAATTTTCAACTCAAAAGTTCGAGTCTGATACGTCTCCGAGTTTCGAAAATATTAAATATTTAGTTTGCTTCGCAAAGCACCACGTGTAAACAAACGCATAATTTTGAGACCGACTGCACTTAGTTTGAGACTGACTGGATCATTTCTCTGGGGGGGGGGAACAACCCCCCCCCCACCCCACACACACACACACACACACACATTTACGCCCCTGGCTAAGATCCGTGTTGATTTAACTCAATGTCAACACGGAAACGTCGGAAAATTTCTTTCTTTATATTTCTTTGTGCTATATTATAAAACAAATATAAAACATTTTTTCCGTATTCAGATATGCAGTTATATCCCTATACTGTGGTTATATCAACACTCGTGGAAATTGTAGTCCAGGAGGAGAAGGGGGTATCGTAACCCGAGCAGGGAATTTATGAGAATATGTGACTTTGGTCAATTTTGGGGCGCTGATTTCAAAAATCGATGTTATACGGGCCAGTACCGGGGCCTTCAGCCTCGTTTTGATGCATACAGCCTCGTTTTGGGGCATATATGGGGAAGACGTTAGTTGTCTTAGTTAGCTAAGGAACCCAGTGATTTTGGTCAATTTCGGTGCGCTGATTTCAAAAATCTATGTTACACGGGCAAATACCGAGGCATTCAGCCTCGTTTTGGTGCAGGCAGCCTCGTTTTGGTGCAAATAGAGGGAAATCATTAATTAGCTTAGATAGGCAAAGTCGTTGGTGATCTTGGTCAATTTCGGTGCGCTGATTTCAAAAATTGAGGTTACACAGCAAAATGCCGACGCATTCAGCCTCGTTTTGGTGCGTACAGCCTCGTTTTGGTGCCTACATATGTGCCTTAGATAGCCAAGGAAGTTGGTGATTTTGCTCAATTTCGGTGCGCTAATTTCAAAAATCGAAGTTATGCGCAGATATATTGGGACCTCTAGCCTCCTTTTGATATACATATCCTTGATTTAGTGAAATTAAACTATTGGGAAGATCCTACTTAAACAAGTAAGAAAGCTAGTGATTTCTGTTCTTTTTGATAAAAAGCAATACAGTTGCCCCATTAAATTGAGGTCATGTTATGCATGGCATTACAAACATGTACAGAATGTTCCACATCCAAATCATCCTCGTAGTCATCATCGGAGGACGAACTGTTCTCACTGTCCGTGCCTGCAAGTAGAACATCAATCTCCTCGGGATAGCAAATGTCACTCCAGACAACGTTTCCATCTCCGTCCCATCCATGCTCGTCGGGGTTCTCAAGTTCTACTGGCAGCTGATGAGCGTTCCCTTTCGAAAAAAGCTAGATACATAATCGTTTCCGGAAAAGGCATGCATTCCCAAAAGAGCTCTTCTGTGACCAGGGGACAATCCAGTTGACGTCACGTCGATGATTTTTCTGTTCTTCCCGCTGCCATTGTCAATCAGAATCTGTGTGTCCGAAAAATCGTGACCAATGAACAAGGTTATTATGTCTATATCACCAGATGGCGACCGTACCAATGCAGTTGAGCTAGGTGGCAATTGGCCAGCACGTACAAACGCAACGAGTTTCTTGCGGTCGCTGGTTAATTCTGGTAATGTGGCTACATCATCATGATTGATCTTCTAGCACACCGACTTGTTAGAAGAAAAGTCCTTATCCTTGTCTTCTTCGATGGACTGTTGTATCGGATCAAAAAGCAAAAGTTGCATACTTTTCCAACAAGTCGGTGTGCTAGAAGATCAATCATGGTGATGTAGCCACATTATCAGAATTAACCAGCGACCGCGAGGAAGCGGACACGAAACTCGTTGCATTTGTGCATGCTAGCCAATTGCCACCTAGCTCAACTGCAATGGTACGGTCGTCAACTGGTGATATAGACATAATAACCCTAGCTTGTTCATTGGTCACAATTTTTCGGACACGCAGATTCTGATTGACAATGGCAGCGGGAAGAACAGGAAAATCATCGACGTGACGTCAACTGGATTGTCCCTTGGTCACAGAAGAGCTCTTTTGGGAATGCATGCCTTTTCCGGAAACGATTATGTATCTAACCTTTTTCGAAAGGGAACGCAGGCCGTGTGGAAAGCCGTGACCAAGAACACTGCCTTTATCGGGGTTTAGAATGGTTCGTCTGTTCTATATACGAGTATCCACGTATCCTCTAAGTCAATGAGGCAAGGAAGAAAGTATTTTGGAACAAGTTCAACAAAGAGAAGAAGATCATCGACCTAACTCTGATGCCACCATGCCAGTCAAATCTTCATCATCACATCACGAGAGCGAACTATGTCGCGTACATCTTTTGACACGCCGATCAGCTGCCAGTAGAACTTGAGAACCCTGACGAGCATGGATGGGACGGAGATGGAAACGTTGTCTGGAGTGACATTTGCTATCCCGAAGAGATTGATGTGCTACTTGCAAGCACGGAGAGTGAGAACAGTTCGTCTTCCGATGATGACTACGAGGATGATTTGGATGTGGAAATTGAAGACACGAGTAAATTTTGAAATGGAAAATGCAAGGTTTGTGAACAGAATGTACATGCTTGTAATGCCATGCATAACATGACCTCAATTTAATGGGGCAACAGTATTGCTTTTTATCAAAAAGAACAGAAATCACTAGCTTTCTTACTTGTTTAAGTAGGATCTTTCCAATAGTTTAATTTCACTAAATCAAGGATATGTGTATCAAAAGGAGGCTAGAGGTCCCAATATATCTGCGGATTTTTGAAATTAGCACACCGAAATTGAGCAAAATCACCAACTTCCTTGGCTATCTAAGGCACATATATAGGCACCAAAACGAGGCTGTACGCACCAAAACGAGGCTGAATGCCTCGGTATTTTGCTGTGTAACCTCAATTTTTGAAATCAGCGCACCGAAATTGACCAAGATCACCAACGACTTTGCCTATCTAAGCTAATTAATGATTTCCCTCTATTTGCACCAAAACGAGGCTGCATGCACCAAAACGAGGCTGAATGCCTCGGTATTTTGCTGTGTAACCTCAATTTTTGAAATCAGCGCACGGAAATTGACCAGGATCACCAACGACTTTGCCTATCTAAGCTAATTAATGATTTCCCTCTATTTGCACCAAAACGAGGCTGAAGGCCTCGGTATTTGCCCGTGTAACATAGATTTTTGAAATCAGCGCACCGAAATTGACCAAAATCACTGGGTTCCCTAGTTAACTAAGACAACTAACGTCTTCCCTATATATGCCCCAAAACGAGGTTGTATGCATCAAAACGAGGCTGAAGGCCACGGTATTGGCCCGTATAACATCAATTTTTGAAATCAGCGCCCCAAAATTGACCAAAGTCACATATTCTCATAAATTCCCTGCTTGGGCTAGATACCTTCTCCTCCTGGACTATTGGGAAAACTTGAAATTGTGTGAAAACCACTGAGCTCTACTATATATATCTGGAGATCGTGCTCGCAAATCAAAAGTGTCCGCAAAAACATGGCGGATTTCGAGCTCCACGTCCACTATTCTCATGGTACATTAACTGACCACAGCTCAAATGCGTGCGGGCGACATTTCCCACTCCCCCCTGACCAGACAGTCACTGATCTTTATAATTTTTAAAAAAGGAGTACATTGGAGAAGATTTGAAATTAGTAAATATTTATAGTTACATATAGGTGTAAAAGGTTTCTTCTGAAC